ATTTCATTGAAATTTTCACTTTATACTAATAAAAGTTCTCAATTCACACGAGGATAATTAGCCATTATCTAGGGTTTCAAAAATCCCCAATTACGATGCAACATATTTAACTGACTCATAGCCTTAATAAAGGTCACAAACCAAGCTAATCATATATTGGATAAATTCATTTGATCAATATATAAGCATTCTTGAAATTTTGCTTGGGTCCCTTTTTGAAAAATGGACTAGGTCCTTTAAAATAATTTCATGTGTGATTCTTAAAAACAACTTTCTCAAATTGTAAACACACCCAACTTTTTTTGTCAAGACCCTTGATTTCGCCCCTAACATTGAACAATCTTTGCTTTACTCTTTTCAGTAAAATGTGTGAAAAAAGTAACTTAAACTAAAACATGTAATAAATGAGATAAGAAGGCTAGGGAACTTGGGGTCTTTAGATTCATGATAATTAGTTAATTACTAATAATGTGCTTGGCAATTTTTTTAATAATTTAAGTGAAAATTTCCTCCGAAAAATATTTAGAATGCTCGATATTTTAGATGGAGTATGTTTTGGTGGAGAACCTCCATAATAAAGTGGTAGGATACACTATGGTATTGGTTGGTTTATATAGAGATATTGGACATTGAAGAATGATGTCCCACATACAATGCACCATACTAATATATCGTTTATGAATTGATAACGAAGAGATAGTAAATTCAACAAAAGAATTTTGTACAAATGGATGTTTGCAAATATTTGTTGTTACAATCTAATGATTAGCCAACGATCGTAATGTAGAGTCTTGAAATTCTTTTATTTTTTATGGTTAAATAAAAAAATTGCATTATGCCCAGGAAGACTTGGGAAAAAAAACCTAGTCGCCTCTCAAAACTGTTGGAACATTTACAACCTTGCAATATAACAAGAAAGAACAAAATAAAAGACCTATCTCACTACCCATCTAAGTAGAGACAACAACCGAAATCCTTTCATACCAACCTAACTTAAGGATGCTCAGACAAATCGTGAGGTCCTGGCTACAACTATCATGATATCCTACATCTTTGCACAATTGCCTGCGGACAATTTCAGGGGACTTTGCACCAACAAATGATCAATAGTTTCCACTCCCCCTGGACACAACAGACGTAAACCCAACACACTCTTATCCCAACCAATCAATTTATCCTGCATGATTAATCTATTTTGCAGAGCAAGCCCCAACCGAGGAATGGCGTCTTTATTCCAAACTAGACGAAACCAGCACACTGATTTGGATGGATCCCTAATCGAATTCCGGACCTTAGTGACAGAATAACAAGACATTACTTCACAATTCCATCTCAAACTAGTTCAAGATCCTGAAACGAAAGGGTAGATAACAGAGCGACATTTTAAAATCCTCTTCCATATCCATGTGCCAGAAGAGGTATTAGCCAAGTCCCACACACTGTGATGCATGAATCTATAACTCCTGATCCACGCGACCCAGAGAGATCCTTCTCCTGCAAGTATATCCCAAAGATGACATGAAACACAACCCAGATTCCATATCCTGAAATCCCTAACTCCAAGACTCGCTTCCTGCTTAGTTTGCACAAGATATTTCCAGGCAATTACAGCTCTAGTACGTGAACTGTTCTCAACTCATCAATGCTCCAAAGGAAATCATTACACAAGCGCTCTGCTTCTTTGATACCATACTGGGTAGCAAAAATAGGTTCATCCAATATTGCAAAATGATGTAAATAACAGATGTAACTAATTAAATCTTCCCGGCATAGCTAAGAGACTTTGACCTCCAACTTCTCAAACATTGTGTAATATTGTCAATCACTACTTGACAATCCCTTCGAGCAATTTTTCCAGTAATGAGAGGAGCAACTAGGTAGTGTATAGGGAGCACTCCAAGATGGAATTACGTATATGTGGCAATCCTAATCTTTTCCTCCTGTGGGATACCAGTACAAAAAAGTTTGGATTACATTTCTGCCATGAGATAAGGTAAAACTAATCTAATAACTTTCTAATCCTAGCCACACCACTAATTGATCCATTTGTAAAAACCATAAGATCATCCGCAAAACATAGGTGTGTTATGCTTAGGGGTTTGTTCCTAGGATGAAAAGGAATATGGTCTTCCCTAGCTTCTTTTTCATTAAACAACAAAAACCTTCATTGCCACTGTAAACATGTATGGGGGACACGGGGTCACCTTGCCTTAAACCCTTCTTAGCATCAACCGCCCACAAATCTCATCATTCAAAGTAACACTGATTACTAGAGTACATATACATGCTTTGAGCAGTTGAATAAAACCAGTTGGAAACCCCATAGCTTCCAGAATAGAGAACAAAAATCCCCGGTGCACAGAGTCAAAGGCCTTCATCAATTCTATTTTTGCTACACACCTAGGAGCTTGGGACTTACGTATAATTGAAGGAAACACCATGGCTACTCTATTAGCAAGGAGTTTATAAATACCTTTGTATAAGGTTGTACAGCAGAAAATCGACGGAAATATGACATTCTAACAACATTTGGTATCTTGGCCATTAGTGTGAAGAGAGTATAATTAATTGCTGATGGCATATGACCAATTGAGAAGAATCTCAAAAAACTTCCTCTACTTCTCTTCCCACTATATCCCAATGCTTTTGAAAAAAATTCAGCTGGGAATCATTAGCCCCGACGCTTTATCCTTTTCCGTTTTCTTAAAGACATTATCAATTTCCACTCTCGACACATGACACGGTAAAACACAACACCAAACTGCGACCAAGTGTAATCGCAGTCCAGAAATGTTGTAAAGTGGCAAGTTTTAATTATCAACCCGGGGTCTAGATCTACTGCCTAATCCGTGAATATCTATTATCTAGCCGACTAAGTCGATTGATTGTGGTTTTAACTAAAAGCAGTAAGAAGGCAGAAATGATTCGGTTTTCTAAAGCAAAGGAAGAATCACTCGGGAATGAGTCCCCCTAGCTCCTTAGTTAGGTCCCAGTTGTAATTACTTTTGGTTGCTTTACTGCTGATTATACTACGGAAGATTCGACAGTAGCTTGGAATCTCTTAAGCTGACCAAGCCCTCTCAGTCAAACTACTCGGCAGACTCCACTACTGGAATTATATTCCAGTACAAAGCAGTGAATCGACTAACTCTCGTATAATCGATTCACTACTACCGATTGAAGAAGCTCTAACAACCTAATCAGATTCTATCTATCTCAAATTGTAGTAGAAATCAGTGAAAGATGATAAGACTTCAGTTGACTCAATCAAAACACTTCAATCGATTATAATCAAGCAATATCACAATCCAAAAGTCGTTACAACAATGATCCCTAACACATAGAACTAGGGTTCTTCATACCCAAGTGAGAGAGGGTTCTACTCCATAGAGAGAGAGAGAGAGGAAAACAGCAAACAAAGCAGTCATACTCATCAAGATGGGAAGAATCTGCTATGAGATGATGATCTTCACTCCAAGGATGATTTCCAAGCTTGATTGATGAAACCCAGCTCCAAAACCACTCTTAGGAGGTGTTCTTCGCACTTTCTCTCTCTAGGGCTCTGTTTTTGCTCCAAAAAGTCGATTCTCCCTCCTTTGGCTCGAAATTGGGTTAAAACCCAGAAATTCCCGACCACACGAGCAGGCCACACAGCCGTGTAGCTATTTAGGCGTGCCCGTGTGAGTGTGCAAAGCGTCGCATTTCACTTAAGTGGTTTCAGGTACGCTACACGGCCAAAACCACACGGCCGTGTGGATTTTAGGTGTGCCCGTGTGAGCTCCCTGGACTTTCCACACGGCTACAAGGGTTCCCCTACACGGCCAGTGTGGCTTGCCCGTGCAATTTGGTGTCACACGGCCAGGTCACACGACCGTGTGGGTTTTTAGGCGTGCCCGTGTGGCTTTTCCAGCTTTTCGTCAAACGCCCCAACTTCGTCCAATCGACCCTGAACTCGTTCCCAAACCTTCTTTCACGTACTAGGACCTGAAATATCACAAACAAGAACAACCTAGCGTGAAATCGGCCTAAAACACGAGAGATGAGACTCAAACGGTACATGAATGGTGGATAAAAACATGTGTATATATCAAGTCATCAACACACCTACCATAAGCATAAAATTTTCCTCTCTGATAAAGTATGTTGCAATATAGAGCAGAAGTAATCAACTGACTGCATTTGGACCTCTCTATTCTCAACCTATAAATTTCCTATAGAAATCCATCGCTACACCAGCCATTTGTTTTATGTAAGTTACCTCCCTACCTTTAGTGTCAAGTAATCTTGTGATCTGTTACCTCCACAATGAGAGGAACTAAACTTTTTCAATCAAACCTCATTCACTATAATACGATCTTTTCTTCGTGCAATAGGGTTCCTACACTGTCTGTTCACCATGTAAACCAGGCCCCAATAACTTTGTGATCCACAAACTCCATGTCTTGAATCCATATTCTAAAGTCTTGCATACTCTGAGTTATGCCAGGAAAGTTGGAAGCCTCATGAACCTCCGCAATGGCGTTAAAATCACCCAAAACTGCCCACAATAACTGCTTCTCCTGTAGCCCTAACAACTCTTTATTAAGCAACAATCGACCATTTTCTTTGTTTGGGCTTACACAAACATCAAAACTACTGCAATTGACCCCTGAACCAGAACCTTCAGATAGCGCTCTCCTTCCACAAGTCTGGTAGCTGTAATACCAGGCCTCCAGAAAAGCCAAACCCTCCCTGATGTAGATTTATCATAATTATTAATATGATCCCAATCACCAAAAGCACCTGTCACTATTTTATTGCTATTATCTTTAGCTACTCTAGTTTCAAGCAATCCCACTATATCCACCTTATATACTCCTAGGACAGCTGAGTGTTTATCAGGGGAGTTAAACCCCCTGATATTCCAGTTAAGCATGATCATTTACCCTGACGCTTCCCCTTCCCTCTGCCTTTTGGAGGTGATTGAGGAACCAAACTACGAACCACTTGTTGAGGCTGGGTTAACCTGGCAACCACATCAAGATTCTTGCTAACTTCCAATGCATATGATCCACTAGCAGAACCTTGAGAGCAGCCTTGGACTTATTCTTCCTGTTAACCACAACTGTAAATCCATCTCCATCTTGTTGGGCTGCTATCGGAGGAGTAACATTTTGTACCAACACTCCCCTGACATCCACAGTGTCTTCAGTTTCCATCATAACTTTACCGTTGTCCACTTCAACCGCAATTTCCTCAACCTCAGCAACTTTGGATGCCTCCATCTCTTGACCCCGACCGAGCCCAACCTTCAACTGCCAATCACATGTTTCTTCACTGCTCATACCCTTTCCACATTCCCAATCAAGAGTCTTGAAATTCGAGATGCATGAAATAAACTATTAAATGAATTTTGATATATAAACTATTAAATGAATTATGATACAAATTATTCATCTAGGTAAGTATTAAAGTCATAAAATGGCTACTGTTCCATTAGGGTTTTACTAATAACACGTACTGTCATTTACTTTTCTAACATACCATTTATTCCTCAACACTTGAGATGGATGAATTGTTTACTTTTCAAGAATCAGGATCTGTATAAATATCATTCTCTCCATCCTTATAAAATTACAGAGTTAATTTTTAGAGTCTATTGCTTTGTTTATATGTAGGGCTGACAATTACCCTGACCCGTTCTTGATCCTGCCCTAATCCTATTTGATCGCCCTCTGAAGGGTCAAGATGTATAACTGATCCGTCCTGACCCTGTTTCCTTCTGGACCCTATTTGACCCACCAGCGTTGGGGCGGGTCGGGGAGGGCTGGGTCAGTGGGTTGACTTTTATCAACACATTGATTTTTACAAATTACGTTTATTACTCAAAATTATTTTTATTACAATTTAGTACCTAAAATTTATTTCTTTTACAAATAAGTTATTGGATTTTGATGGTAACATTATATTTTGGTACATAAATTTTTTTTATAATTTTTTTTATGGGTAATCAAAATTTCATTAAGCACAAGGGTTGCAACTGCATAACCCCTTCTCAAACGACAAACAAGTACCTTTTGAGCCATTTACAATAAGCTCAACCATAAAAAAAACATATCTATACATCAATTCAGCAATCAGTGAGAGTTGGCAGTGAGTATCCATTTCACCTCCTCTTCAATTCGGCCAGCTATCTTACTTGGGGAGCAAATCGCAACATCATGAGCACGACAACAACGTTCACACCATATATAACTAACACACAGTGACCACCTCAACCTTCCCTCACTCTTAACTCCAGCATCAGTAGCCCATTGCCTGACTGCTGATAACGATGTAATTGCACATGTTTGCGCCCCTAGTTCTTATCCGTTTGAGGGGTATAGTCGTGTGTTTTGGCCTATTTTTGGCCGGGTTGTGCTATTTTGTCATATTTCAGGTCCCAGGCATCAAAGGGAAGGCTAACCACGAGTTTCGGGGCATTCGGATGTCATTTCGTCAAGCTGGGGCCAAAACACGGGCACACCTAAGGCATTACACGGCCGTGTTCCTATGGCCGTGCTTTTTATGCCGAGAGCTGAGCTGATTACACGGGCAAGGCCGAGACAAAGCACGGCCGTGTTCAGGCATTACACGGCCGTGTCCAACGAGAAGCACGGCCGTGTTTCTCCCCAACTGCTGGCCGTGTAATTAACATTGACCGAGGCACGGGCGGAGTCAGGCAAAGCACGGCCGTGTCCTCGACCGTGCTTTGGCCACTGATGCTTTTAAGCAGATTTTCAGCCACAAGTCAAGGGGATTCGAGTTTTTGAGAGATAGAACGACTTCTAGAGAGAGAAAGTGACGAGCAAGAGTTCCCAAGTGACCTAGATTGATCTTCAACACCATTGGAGGCCAGCTTGAGCTTGGAGAAGTGCCAATCAACGTCTAGGAGCCGGAATCCGTCCTTCGCAGTATGAATTCCGTGTCTGATTCTGCTTTTGCTTTCTTCTCCATGGAGTAGTTCTCCCATTCATCTGGGTATGGAGAACCCTAGATTTGTATGTTAGGCTTTGATTGTATGAACCCAAGTACTGATTCTGTGATTGATTATATTTGATTGAGGTTTTAATGATTGAATGACTTGAATCCTGATCAAATTCCTGTTGTTTCTGCTTTAACCTAGAATGAGAATATCTGCCTAGGTTGATAGAGTATCCTTGATTGAAGGTAGGGAGTTGGTGACTTTAGTCGAGGAACCAACTCACTATTCTGTACCGGATTTACTCCGGTAGTGGAGGTTTTGTTTGTTAAGGCCTCAATCTGTCTACTCCGGTGGAGGTTAGTCGCCCGCTAGAGAGTCAGATTGAGAGGGTCTGAAGACCTTTAGTCGAGACTTCAGGCTGTTTAAGAACCTTCCACAGTATAACTATCATAGAAACTGAACTTGGTAATTACAATCCGGCTTAACTGCAGTCTAGGGGGAACCATATCCGGGTGAGCTCTCTTAACCTGAATACAACAGTTTACTTGCTTTGTTTGTTTGGTAGTTTAGACTTGCATTCAAGTTTCATTGCTAGATAACAAGAATTCACTGAGTAGTCATCAGATCTAGGACCCGGGTTGAAATATAAACCTAACCCGCTATACTACGCTTTAGGAAGTGGTTTCACTTGGCCAATTCCTAGGGTGACAGTAGAGTCGAGTCAAGTTTTTGGCGCCGTTGCCGGGGACGGCTAGGTTGTTGAAGAAAAGTGATTTCTGTTAATTTAGCCTTTTCTTTTTGCATTTTTGCTTTTTCCCACTTGTGCCTTCACGGGTTTGCTTGCTTGAGAGTGTGCAGGTAGTGCATGACCCGTAGCCAGTCGGGAGGTTTACTGCCGTTGAATCCAGAGATTGACCGCACCTGTCGCCAGCTCAGGAGACAACAGCGAGCTAGACTGGCTACGGAAGAGCGCATAGACGGCCACGTGAGCAGTGATTCTGAAGAAGAGCACGGGATGGACGGAGAGTACAATCAACACCAGGGGAATCCTCAGCAGGCTCCCCCGGTGAATCAGGTCCTGGGGAACAACCCCATACCCCAGGATCATGGAGTTCATCATCCACCGCAGCCGGGTCCCACCTTGGAGTACTACTACACTCCTCGGATTGCTGACATCCGCTCGGTCAACCTCTACCCGCCGATCCCAGCAAACAACTTCGAGATCAAGCCATGCTGGATTCAGCTCATCACATCCTCGATCTAGTTTCATGGCTTGAAGGATGAGGAGGCCAGGGTACATCTGTCACGTTTTCTGCAGATGACGAACGGGTTCAAGCTGAATGGTGTCCCGGATGATGCAATCCGCCTTCATCTTTTCCCCCATTCTCTGGCGGGGAATGCTAAGAGGTGGTTGGAAACCCAGCCTCCATTGTCCATCACCTCTTGGGACGATCTGGCTGACAAGTTCGTGCACAGGTACTATCCCGCATCGAAGACTACATAGATTTAGCGGGAGATCACTCACTTCCGCCAGGAGCCAGATGAGTCACTTCGTGATGCATGGGAGCGGTACATGGGATATTTCTGGCAGTGTCCCCACCATGGCTTTAGTGATGCATTCACAGTGGGAAATTTCTACAGTGCTCTCTCCCCAGATAGCCAGAGGGTGATTGAGTCTATATGCCCAGGAGGGGATGTTCTCACTAAGACTCCACCCGAGCTGAACCAGATGATCAATACATTGGCTGCCAGAGATCATTCCTGGGCGCAGAGCAGCAGAGGCAGACATTCCAGGGACCGTGGTGTGCACGCCCTGGAGACCAGATCCGGGCTCGAGCAGCAGGTAGCTGAGCTAGTGCAGACATTGAAGCAGCCCAACAGTCTTATTCCGGGCAGAGGTATGGCTACACCTCCAGTTGCTCAGTGTCAGTGGTGTGAGAGCTCGAGCCACTTAGTAGAAGACTGCCAGGCTATGAGGGAGTCTACTACCCCCCAGGAGCAGTTGGACTTCATCGCCAATGCTCGGCGCCTCGACCCGTACAGCACCACATATAATGAGGGGTGGCGCCAGCATCCCAACTTCTCTTGGGGCAGCAACACCACTAAGCCACCTGGTTTCCCAACACCAGTAGGTGGTTTTCAGCAGAGGCAGCCCTACCAGGCTCGACAGGGGCCAGTTCCGCAGCAGCAACCCTACCAGCCTCGACAAGGGCCAGTTCCACAGCAGCAGCCCTACCAGCCTAGGCAAGGGCAACCCTTCCAGCAGCCCCAGCGCCAGTTTGCCGAGCCAGCTCCAGCTCCAGCTCCAGATACTCAGATGACGAAGCTGGAAAATATTCTGGCTTCATTCATGACGAGCACTCAGGCGACTATCACGAGGTTGGACCAGAGTGTAGCCTCACTAGAGGCAGGTCAGAGGAACCAGGGTGCCATTTTGCAGGATCTGCAGACCCAGGTGGGCATCTTGGCCCGCCAGAACACTACCAGGGCATCGGGGACTTTGCCTGCCACCACTGTCCCGAATCCTTGGGATCCTCACCAGCTCCAGCAGCTTGATGCCATCACTACCAGGAGTGGCAAGACCACATCAGCTGCTCCTGCCCAGCCCAGTCGAGATGATCCACTACCTGCTTCAACACTTCCAGCTGATACTGCAGACGTGGGGGAAGACACAACAACGCCTGCTTCCAAGCCACAGCCAGTGGTTAAGGAGCATGTACCTCAGCTTCCTTTCCCCACTCGCCTGCATAAAGACAGGCTGGAGACTGAGTTTGCCAAGTTCATGGCAATGTTGAAGCAGGTTCACATCAGCATGCCGTTCGTGGAGGCACTGTCGAAGATGCCCAAGTATGCCAAGTTCATGAAGGACCTCCTCACCAACAATAAGAAACTTGGGGATCTTTCGACAGTGATGCTGAGCGAGGAGTGTTCTGCCATCCTGCAGAACAAGCTGCCCGAGAAGCGAAAAGACCCAGGGAGTTTCACTATCCCTCTTGTTATTGGCAGCATGCATGTAGGGAAGTCCTTGGCGGATCTAGGCGCTAGCATCAATGTCATGCCTTATAAATTGTTTAAGAAGCTAGGCCTAGGTGAACCTAGAACTACTAGGATGAGCATTCAGTTAGCTGATCGTTCTATCGTGCATCCTAGGGGTATCATTGAGGACTTGCTTGTTAATGTGGGTGCATTCACATATCCTGTTGACTTTGTTATTTTGGATATAAATGAGGATGTGGATGTACCTTTGATTTTAGGTAGACCGTTTCTCGCCACCGCCAAGGCGCTTATTGATGTGCATAGTGGTAAATTGATTCTGCGTGTTGGAGATGAACAAGCTACTTTTTCTGTGTCTGAGAATGGGAAACACCCTCATTTGCATGA